GATGTTAAATTATTACTTTACAAAAGGTATTGTCTGAGCCCTGTTTGTTAAACTTCACTATGGTATAAATCTCTTGAACCAAAAGATACACGTTATATATATTGAAATGGGAGGTACATCCGTAGTTTACAAATAATTTGCTAAATCAAAACTTTTGAGCTGATGACAGTTCCTATATTGATTGAAAGGTAAAATGCAAATTTAAGAGCTCTATATTGTACAGCAAGGTTACTATAGTTAATGATACAGTGTATTCTTGAAAAATGCAAAGAGTGGATGTTAATGTTCTCACCACAATAATGGTAACTGTGAGGTAATGCATTTATTAATTGGTTGAATTTAAACATTGGACAGTCAGTGTATATATGTCAGAACATCTATACATGGTAATGTACACTATTGTACTTTCCATGCCTGGCCCTGGAGCCCTGAGAGGGTTGGGGTGCACATGAATGGCTCAGCCATTTTTTAAAAAGTTAAAAAAAATTAGTGTTAACAGATCCTGTAAGGTAACAGAATTTCAACTTAGATCAGTATTAGGTTAGTAAAAGATTAGTAAGGATAGGGTTTATTATGTAGCTATTAATAGCTGATGATTTTCTTTTTGTCTTATGCTAAAATAGAATGTCCCTGAGTAGGTGACATATATCTTGGAAGTACAGATGGTCCCCAACTTAGGATGGTTTGATGTAAAATTTTTGTTGTATAAGCCATACACATTCAGTAGAAACACCTCCAGTAGACACTGTACGTTGTATTTGGAACTTCGATCTTTCCCATGCTAGTGATACATGGTATAATGCTGTCTTGTGATGTTGGGCAATGACGGTGAGCCATCACTCTCAGTCAGTATACTGTGTTGCCAAATGGTTTTGCCTAACTCTAGGCTGATCTAACTGATCTGAGCATGCTTAAGGTAGGCTAGGTAAGCTGTGATGCACAGGTTAGGTGCATGAAATGTTTGTTTGAGACAAGGTCTTGCTCTGTCACCTACACTGGAGGACAGTGGAACAATCACGGCTTGTTGCAGCATTGACTTTTCTGGGCTTATGCAATCTTCTCACCTCAACCTCCAGAGTAGCTGGAACTACAGGCAGTGCCACCATGCCTGGCTAATTTTTAAAATTTTATTTTTAGTAGAGAGAAGGTCTTGCTATGTTAGGCTGATAAATTTATCTTTGATTTATGATATTTTCAACTTACAATGGGTTGATTGGGACTTTATTGTATGTCAGGGAACATCTGTGTAGAACAATTTTAGGATTAGTGAAATTTAAAAATTTTATTATGGTTCTTCAGAATACTCCCAGAATTGGCTGTAACTTCTGTTTTTTTTTTTTTTTTTCCCCCTTGGAATCTTTTCATGAAGCAATTTCTATAAAACTTCTCATTTCAAGGTTTAAAAACTTTTTCCTGGACTTAATCTTGACTGCAGTACAGGAAATAATTTAATAAATTAACTCATTAAAAAATTTATTGATTTCAGATTATAGTGTTCACATTTTAAAATTTATTACCTTAAAGTTGAGGTTGACAAACCTTTTCTGTAAAGGGTTAGGTAGTAAATATTTTAGACTTTGTGGGTTGTATGGATTCTGTCATATTTTGTTTTTTTACAACCCTTTAAAAAATGTAAAACCATTCTTACCCCATAATTGTATAAAAACAGGCTGGCTGTTTTTGGCCCTAGGGCCATAACTTGTCAACCCTTGCGCCAAAGGGTAGGAGTCACCTGGTGTGCTGTCACACGCCTGTAATCTCAGCACTTTGGGAGACCGAGGCGGGCAGATTACCTGATGTCAGGAGCTCGAGACCAGGTTGGCCAACATGGTGAAAC